TTCTTGATCACAGTTTTATTTGTATTTAATATTCCAGTTTTATTTAATATTCCATTATTTAAATAGTATCCTTGGTGGATAGTGCTTCTCAGGAAAAATTCCTGTAAAGTTAAAAATTTATCATATAGGGTATTTCAGAAGGAAACAACAGCAACCCAAACCGGCTGGGGATAATACTTGTTTCTGGGGTAAAAGTAAACATCCTGGAGCATGGCAAACTTACATTGTTAACTTTTTTTTATACTCTTGAAGACGTGGGAGTGGCGCAGTGAGGTTAGCCGTGATACGAGGTGTAAACACGTCTGTCGGTCTAAAAGGACCCTGTGTAACCTTTGCTAGGTGTAAGGACAACGTGCCGGGACGTGGCTGCTCCGGGGAAGATGCCGGTAGGAGAGTCTCAGGCTCCCTCTCGAGGATATCGGCGCTAATTACAAATAAATCCTCCAGCTCCGCGGCTCCTGCAGCCTTCAAAGTGCAAAGGAGCAAACCCCAAGCGTTACAGGCATAAGCCTAGGACAAAAGAATCCCCAATAGAAGCTTAGTCTAGACATCAAGAAAAAAAAAGAGAGGGAGAGAGACGCAGGCAATTCTGTGTCTGCAACTTTAATGAGTCTGCAACTCATTAAAATGGCCACAAAAATGATCAGAGGGCTGGAACACCGCTCCTGTAAGGACAGGCTAAGAGACTTGGGGTTGTTCAGCCTGGAGAAGGCTCTGGGGAGACCTTATTGCAGCCTTCCAGTACTTAAAGGGGACCTAATAGAAAGATGGGGACAGTCTTTTTAGCAGGGAGTGGTAGATGCCCCATCCCTGGGAAGATTCAAGGTCAGGTTGGACAGGGCACTGAGCAACATGATCTATGTTAAAATATCCCTGTTATTGCAGGAGGGTTGGACTAGATGACCTTTGAAGGTCCTTCTAACCCAAACCATGCTATGATTCTATGATTAGGACACACTGCCAAGACTGCCTCTTGGCAAAGGTTTTTGAAACAGAAGAGTGGTGTGTGCTGATGTGTGCGAGGTGAATAGTCCCTAAATCCTGCTAAAGCTGCTAGAAGATACATACAGGCACAAAGAAAATGGGGAAATGAAAGCAATATTTTAGCCATGAAAGAGGGGAAATTATTATTGCCACAGGGGAACTATGGCTCTGAGAGTTGAGCACAGACTGGCAGCTGAACTGAATGATGACCAAGATAAGGAATAAGGTCCTTCTGCACCCTTTAGTACAGACCCTTTAGTACAGAAAACAATGTTTCAGCTGTTATGGTTTATGCTACTGCTGTAATTATACACTAACAGTGCTCAACACCTGGAGACAATGTGAATGGACACCACTCCAAGCCCTTTGCATACTAACAGACCTGGCCACTTTCTAACCATCAGCAGCTCAGCTCTGCCACCCCAGGGACATTACAGTGCCACAACATCGCTCGTGGTGACCAGAGTGTACCTACACTGATGATGGTGGGAAACCATCACTGATCCAGACCCAGGGCCACAGGTCTGGATGCAACAAAGGCAGGGTCCTTCTCTCTGATCTGTTTGTGGTCAGATCCAGTCCTCCACAGTTTTGGGGTTAGTTTTCCTTAGCTTTGGGAATGATTTCTGGTCTAGGTGTCCCACAGTCACCTGGTGAGATAGTTCTTAATTTAGTTTGGAACACCTATCAGTCTCCAGCTAGGTTTCCTTTTACTGTTAGTTTTGATCACCTACCTTAAAGATCAATGTTTCCTCCCCTTTTTTGTTACACCAATTGCCTAAAAGCTTCATTTTACACATTTGCCTCTTGCAGCAGACTTCAGCTGTCTAGGGAAGGCTGTGCAAAATCCTTTGCAGTAGGAACAAGGCACACGGGGTTTGCATGCCAAGGTTTTGGTACACAGCTTAAAGGAGTGGCTGTGCTGTGGCCATGACAGTAAATGGTGAGTTATCAATCTCTCCCTGTCCTTATCTCAACCCACAAGCCTTTCATTACATTTTCTCTTCCCTGTCCAGCTGAGGAGGGGAAGTGATAGAGCAGCTTTCGTAGGCACCCAGTATCCAGCCAGTCAACCTACCATACAGGATGAAGAGAAGGAACTCTGAAACAATTGATTGCCACGTGCTTCACCAGAACAGCACCACTTTTCCAACTGCCCCCTGACAACGTGCCAACAGGAGCAGATTTCCTCAGTAAAACATGTGAACAGGTGACACAGATCATGTCACATGTTCGTAGTTAGGAGGGTGACCAGCTGAAAATGAGTTTAATCAGTATAAAGGTGGCAGCCTTTCTATTTAACCTGAGATTTTGAGAAGGCATAAAGGCTTTGATTTCTGTGCAAAGGTGGTGAAGAGACTTTTGTTTGTATGCGACTATAACAGAAAAAGCCCTTACAGGTAGAGGCAGAGAAAATCCAGAATGGAGCTGCATCTGGTGCAGTGGTGAGAGCTTTAGGGCTGCTAAACATAAATGCTGTTACCTCAGGGATTTTAAATATGTTAACTTTTCTACTTTACCTTCCCATTTTCTAGTTTTGACTAAGGAAATTCCATTCTGTAACTTCCAAGCCTGGACCTGTAGCTATAAACTTAAGAGCAGCTTAATATCCAGATCAGAACTTTCTGAGCATGGGAATTTTTTAGCAAGTTGTTGTCACAGCTGAAGCTGCTGCTAACGCTGATCTTCTCTTATAGGTTGTTACTAATAGGGATACTAATTTCTGAAATATGGACCCAAGAGAGACCAGGTAATGTTGCAGTAAACTGCTTTGACATAAAATTCTCTATATGTTTTCATAGATGATATCTGTTTTGTGTGTCTATTTCGGAAGAGTCTGGAGCTCTAGTGGCAGCCATGACTTGCATGTTTTTGTGAGAAACTCCACGTGTACCTGTCTACTCATGGTCACTACTACTACTCATAGCCACTCTTTAAGCTTATGTATATTAAGCAAATTTTTCTACCTCATTCTGGTAACAAGCACTGATGAATTAAGAGTGACTTTGTTGTTATTCTCACAGAATCACAGAATGTTAGGGGTTGGAAGGGACCTCCAGAGATCATAGAGTCCAACCCTGCTGCAAGAGCAGGACCATTCTCATTTTTTTAAGCCTAGTTTTTGTTATTGACTATATCATATGTAAGGTCCTTTAAATACTATAAAGCTATTAGTGCTTCACCAGAGATGAAACAGCTTTCTTAAACAAGACTGCTGTCTACTTTAGCTTCTTCCTTACAAAACAGAGTAGGTCATGGGACAACAGATACAGAGAGCTGGTTCTAGGACTCTCTGCCCTGCTCACTGCAGGTGCTGTAGAAACACAGTAGCTTTACCAAGGATTAAAATGAAAAGATCCTACAGGAGGTGTTACACACCTTGGAGCAATTCTACAGCTTCTTCACTAAATCAAGTTAGTTCCTTGGAATATGAGCAGAAAAAGGTTATCTTTGCCAGCATGTGTCTGTTGTCCCATAGTTCAATAATTTCTGATGTACAGGTTGCATTTTTGGTTAACTTAAGTGTATAGTGCTGAACTCTAGGAATAAGGATCCTCTGAGCCCTTGAAATGCACCATTACTATACAAGGTCTAGTTGGCATTAGCTCACTATGCCATAGAAGCTTCTGTTTGAAATGACAAACCCCAGTTTATTAGAAATATATGTCAAATTAAGTCTCTGCTCTCTAGTTCTACATTTAGAACAGTTTGTACCTGTTTCCTGCCTTTAAGAGGTTTGGCAGCCATAGCCTGGTTTATGCTGTGGTGATAGCCTGGGACTTGAGTTTCTCAAGCCATCCTCTTTGCTCCTGTGTGGTCATTTCCCAGCATGAGCCAACTGGCTTCTGGTACTGGTACTTGGGCAGGTGAACAGGATAGGCTGATGGATAGCTGATGTGGCTGCTTCCCACCCAGACTTGCCTTGTAGCTCCTCTTGTGAATAGCATGTTGTCCTGGTTTGGGGTAAAATGGAGCTGGTTCTGCTCAATGATTTTACTTTTTAGCTAAAGCTCTTCTAGTTAACTGCTCTGTCTGAAGTTAGCAGCATTTTCACAAACTGTCTGGTGTTAGCAGTGGTAAGACCTCACATTTAGAGTTACCGCCAGGGGTTGGTGTGCAGACCAAGGCCACTGCTAAGCTTGGACCCCACATGGAGGGCAGCAGAGAGTACCCCACACTTGTGGGGAGGAGCGGACAGAATAACTGACCCCAAGATTCCCCAGTGGGGTGTTTCATCCCACAGCCCTCATATCCAGTAAAGCTGAAGGATCAGGAGGGGCAACCCGTTCTGTCTCCCCTCCTGTGCTCTCTTCAGTCTTCTGCTGCTGGGCTGCTGGCTGCTTTGGCTGCAGTGCCCGGCATCTGAGGAGGACTTCAGCCATCCTCCCTTTGATCCCAAGCCCTGTGTTCCTGAACTGAGCTCCAGAATCCAGCTTCTGTACCCAGTCTGTGGCTGAGTCCAGCACGAGACCTCTCCCAAGGGGCTGCTCCCCCGCTGGGGGGGGGGGGGAT